CGAGAGGAGAGGAAGGAGAGGAAGGAGAGGAAGGAGAGAGAGCGAGAGAGCGAACGGCAGGGTAAAGGGAGAAGCGGTGACAATGAGAAACCAGGAAGGCGACGTGTTAGTTATCAACTCGTAAAGTTTTAACTGTCGTTTGTGCCCCGAAGTGCATTTCCGATTCGCGATATTGCATCGGCACGAATCGTCGCGACGAATCGCGAAATCGATCCAGGAGCGGGTAACGAATTCCAACGGAAATTTAATAAACTGTCCGCGCGTCGTGAGGCCGAGGGATTTTTCTCGGAGGGCTCTTAGCGTTTGGTCCAGAAATGGCAGTAGTAAATTTCAGCGGGTCGAAGGGTGACCAGTCGAGGGACGAGAAACCTAGCGCGTAAGAAGAGGTCGTCCTTTGAAGACGATGATTCCGACGACGCGTCTCCATTGTACGGGACAGCCGGGTCAGCCTGACGACCGGGCAACACGTGTCTGTTATGTCTATTATCGACAGATAGTGGGGTAACGAGCGGACGAGATTTATCACCCTCCGTTGCCACCCTAGAGAAACGAGAAGCGGAGGGCTGGGATGGGGTGGTAAAGCGAGAGAGGAGGCCGGTTTACAGCTGGTTTGACAGAAAGAAAGGCCGGTTAAAGCCTTACAGTCGAATCTCGCGCGACGCGTGCTCGTTTCGGCAAAAGTACACAGACGCCTATGCCGGGAGGAAATTTATTGGCCCGCTGAGACACGTGCGCGAATCTCATCTGGACTATCGAGACGAAGTATCGAAGAGTCGTAATAAACGAGACGTCTCGACGATCGCGAGTTCAACGAATAATTCTTTCTTCGAATTTCGAATATTTTTCTCCTTTTTTTTTTTTTTTTCAAGTCGGTAACTCTGAGTCGTAGCCTAGGGAGCGAATGGTTGATGGGGAGAGAGTAAAACTCGTTGGTAGTAAATTTAAATGTCAAAATATACACGTTAACGATTCAGGAGGCGCGAAGCTGTATCATAGGTTTATTAACATAATAGGAGAAGGTGCAGCCGCAAACAAGCCTGGCCAAACCCGTCAATCAAAAACCCGATCCTCGAGAAAAGGGCTAGTTAGCCGGTGGCCCTTGCATTCCCGGCCTCACGGAGGATAACGAATGCATGCCTCGGTGCATGCGGTGTTACATTTTTCCGTGTCACTCCTAGACTTACTTGTCCCTGTGCTAGTTCCCGTTGCATTCCGGGTCATTCGCGTGGTCGGTAGAAGAATCAAAATATTCCCGAGCGCCTCGAAGGGTATGTACGTTCCACTTTCGTGCGAGCTTCTTGAGAAAAGTGTGCTACCCCACGGAAGGGGCGCAAGCTTTAGCGTTACGCGACCGAGTCACCCCCTTGACCGGTAGATTCGCATAGATGACCGACGGGGATTCTACGGTGGGGATCCCGGACACGTCTGACCGCCCGACAGGCCTCACAATACCAAATATTCCCCGCGTCACTGATTGTCACTTGTTTCCTGCCGATTCTGTCCGCTGCGAAACTTTTCCCTCGCGCCGTTTCTTTCTCCGATTTCAAATTCAAATGGCGAAAATCACGGGCAGCGTAACCCTACGCCTTGAGAAAGCGAAGGTCACCGCGTCGCCTTGAAGCACCTTTCCCTCTGTGGATTCGGGCTGTGACGTCGAAGAATATGCGCGGCATGCAGCGCAGAGGAACGGGGAGGAGGAAAATGCGCGTTGCGAGTCGCGCGCGCGCTGGCCAAGTTAATAAGAAGCGGGCTGAATCGAGAGGAAGAGAAGGTGGAGAGAAGAAAGGGGAAGGAGGGTGAGCATAATGTGGCTCATTGTCGAATCACTTCCGGGGCTTGACCTCCAGCAACGCCCTAAAGACCAGTTCACCTGGACAATGTCCACGAATAATGGGCACCGGTGTTGTCCATTGTACAGCCGGAACGACGGACACGTCGATTGTCTACGTGCTTGCAGATCGAGCGAGAATTTAATAATATCCACAATAAGATCCGTCGGTACCACCTACATAGGCCCCTCTTCACGATTCTTTCAGTCCTGCACGCCGTTTTCGCCAAGTGGTAAGTGGTAGGCGTGCAAGGAAGGGCACTCCATTCTGACGACATTGTTATTTCAATGAACATCGTCTCGAGCGAATTCGAGAAGGGTGCGTTGCACGCTCATTGACGACGATTAAGTAACGCTTGGAAAATGTGCGACCTCGATGACGGAACGGTACGGGATCGCACAGCGTGGATCCTCGGTTTCGCTGTTTGCGGCGTGTCACGATTTGTCTCATTACGGACATCGGGGTGGTTCGTGCGGTTCGCGCGAGGACACGGTTCGCCGACAGTCGCCATTTATATGATTTGTCAGCGACATGCGTCGCTAATGGCGCAGCTTTCCAGCCGATTTGTCGAAAAAGTGGCCCGCACGATCAACGAGGCGCGTGTGCCTGCTTCGATATGAAAAACAACCGATCTTTCGCTCTTTTTCCCCCCTCCCCCGTGACTGCTCGAAAAAGCAGCCGGCGACTCGTACTCGAGAGACGACGAGAGGGGTTGTCAGCGATCACGTGGAAAAATTGACGATGCTCCCAATATGTCGATGAGCGAACGTCACGGAAAGAAGGGCAGACCCGCCGACGGGGGTGGTTTCTGTGCACCGCGCGACCCTCGTGTTCCATATGGAAATGGACGCGTCGCAAACGGGAATCTGGACAATCTGGATCGACGTTAAGCACCGGTTCAACGGCTAAATGTAAAATTATACAGAAAAAAAAAAATGAAAAATAAAACGCAGACGCGTATTTGAAGAGTAATTAGCGACATCGCGCCTTGCGAAGGTTATATTCGAAACACGAAGGACGACTAATGCAATAAACGCGACAGGATTGATCATTTAAGGCGGGTTCTCGAGATCATTCGGTAAATTGGACCCGTACCCTCGACACGAGGGTCTCACGACCGAGTGAGCTAAGCCTAAGATTGGTTTAGTCGCCACTAAGGCACGCCGCGAGTCGGCAGTTCTGCGGATCACGCGTCACCGAGCAAAACGCAACCGGAAAAGAAGATCCCCCTCTAGTTTCCTTCGATTTTCCACTTCCCATCCCTCCGCGAGGATTCGAGAAACGAGACCCGGCCAGCGTGGCAGGTGGGGTACCAGCGATACCTCGAATAACACCCCTCGATACCACGACCTTCCCTTCGTTCTGCTTCAGGTGTGTACGCGGCGAATAAATGTTCACGAAATTTGGGGAAAAATTTCGGTTTAGGGTTCCATTTTTTTCCCTTTTTTTATCGCTTCTTGCTCCACGTCGGAACGAGATAGTCTCGTCCTTCGGCGCCTTCTTTGTCTCCTGTTTATCTTCTCTTCTCATTCCTCTTGATCGATCACGCGCCGTCGAATCGATACGCGATTGCGATTAATATTCGAAATACTGACTCACTGATAGAGGTATATCGGTAATCCAGTTTCCATCTTCCCTATCTCGACCCCTTTCGTACGGGAGACGCCTTTCCCCGAGAATGTGAGAAAAGGATTAGGATTAGGGGATAGCGTGCGAATCGATGGAAAGGGATCCCTCCTAGATTTCTCCAATTTCAGAAAAGGATCACGCGGTCTGTTAACCGTTCGTTAGGTTCGTTACCGGCGTCGTGCCGTACATAAATCGTGTTTTCAGTTATTTTACAAACTTCGCCGTACGTTTTTCCACGACCGAGTGAAAATACCCGATATTCTTCCCGATCGATCTTCCCTTAGCTCCTGGACCGGGTTTAAAGGGACATTGGAAATTCTGTGAGAACTCGAGGCCAGATCTCTCTGTCGCGATGTTTTCTCCGTTCGTGCGCTCGCACGTTTACGCGCGTGGGGTTGATAGATCGGCCCGACGAAACGAAGGGGTAGTTTGGCTTTAATCGATCCTGTAATCGCCGGTCCGACAGTTGGCCCCGGCTGCCTTTTTGTCGGCAGTTAGATGGATGGCGCCATTTACATTTTGTCAGTGCGACATGCGCTAACGTAACATAACGTTGCCGCTATCATATCTATCACACCCTCTGGACCGGTACACGGCCAGTTCCCGACTCTCTCCGTCCCGTAGTCTCGTTTCGCAATGGACAACGTTTTTCCGCTAGGGTTCGGAGCCTCCGCTGCAAATTCTCCGATTTAAATCGCTGCCAGCACCGTTCGAGGACACGATATAATAGAGATGCGCGTTGGTAAAATGGTAAAATTCTTAAATAAGACGAATGGGGATAATCTTGGACTTCTACGACCGATTTCACGGACTACTTCTTCGATTTTGACTCGGTGCGTCGATTTTACGGTCGAGTTAAGAAGCGACAGAGACGTTCCTTCGGACGAGCCTGGAAAGAATTGTAGAGCAGGATGGCAGAGAAAGGAATCGAAAGAGAACTGTCCGAGGCGAGCCAATTGACAGATCTGTCAACATGGATGACACCTTCGACGAACGAGTCGACCAGGTGTCTACCTTCCAAACCGAAGAGACGATTCTGTCTATCCTCTCTCTTTTCTCCCCTATCTTTCTCTCTTCTTCGTTTTCCTGTCTTCGGCATCTGCCGGATAATACCAGGGATTATAGCAGGAGGATAGCGAGCCCACTGACACTGCTTTCGGGCAAAGTATTTCTCTACCGGATCCCGAAGCATAAACAGATCGATCATCTTTCAAACGGTTGCACGAGAACCCCCTGCGAGATGATATCGCGTGCGATTTCTCGCATTCGCGGAAAATTCTCGTCTCGTCGTTTTCCAAACGGGTGGTATACGCGTGAAATAGCTTGGAAAGAGAGCGTACGAAGGAAACGATTCGATCGAGCGAATTATTTCGCGAATAACAAAGAGTCATCGACGATTTCCCGAGATCGTCTCGAGAGGAGTTGGCTATAGCCGTTGGATCGAGCATCGACGCGTTAGGTTCGTTTACCTATTCTCCGGATCGAAGTGCCGAGAACGAAAGCGATAAGCACCGGTCGTGTGTCTAGAGAAATAGAACTCACCTCCCACGCGTAGCGGGGGTTGAAAGGCTCGCTGGCCCATTTGCCAAGGTAAGGACCGAATCTCGCGCCCCGTGGAATGTCCTTCCGCGCTCGAACCTGAGGGCCGCCCGGTGCCGAGCCTCCCACCTCGACTTCCGGCACCGGTGATACCCACTCGCGGTTAGATTGCTCCTTCTGTTCCTGCTTCGTCGCGTCCTCTGCAAAAACCGAACCGCAAGTTATCGCCACATCTCGTCGCTCGAATTGAAATTTTAATGCGGCAAATGAAGCTAATTACACCGGAGACTGCCGAAGGAAGAGTAAATGCCGCGGTCCGCGGCGATTATATTGCAATTTGGCAGATTAAATCCTCTCGATAAACCGCTCATGCCAGGGTAGATGGTCGCTGTGTAACCCACTATTCTAATCCGGACAATTAACCACCACGTCTCCCGATAATTTACACCGTAATTCGTAACATTAAGCGGCCCACACGGTTGACCCAGTATTCTAATTTACGCAATTAGCTTCCGCGACTCGCGACGGTTTAAGGGGCAGTTAAAAAAGAAGAAAAAAAGAAGAGGGGGAAAAAAACGGGGAGAAAAATCGAATTGCTTCACTCACGGTAAGCTTCGCTCCTGTAGACGACGTCCCGCGACCTCGAGTACTCCTTTCTGTCAGCCTTCTCGCCGTAGTCCCACGATGATTTCTCCTCGTCCCTGGACGAAGGTGGTCTGTGTTGCTCCTTCTCGTAATTCTGCTGCTGCTTGTCCATAGCGGGCGAGTAACTGCGTTGATAAGCCGGCCTCGACTGCGAGTTGTAGTCCTGGGACACGTCGTGCACGTTGGTCACGTGAAGAGCCTTCAGGTCCCTGTACACCAGATTGTAGGCGGAGTTGTTGCTACCGCCACGGATCGAACCGTTTTCTTCCATATCCTGGTTTTCGCCAGTCCCCCCCGTGCCTCCGCCGGCCGGCGTACCCGACGTCGACTCGCCTTCGTCGCTGCTTCCTGAAAGAGAGCCAACGCGACTTAGGAACAGGCATCGGAGTCGATGGTAACAGTACGCGGAGTCTCGTCGAAGGCCAGAGGACGTCTCGATGACGTCGAGGAAGGTCAAAGGTGCTCGTCGATCATCGGCCGATCGAAAGGTCAGAGAACACCCGCATCCGCGAAAAATGGATCATAGCACGTGACGGTGCTGAAAATTCAATTTCTCCCTGCAGACTCGTTGCGAGAAACTCTCGACTAGGTCACGAGTAACAACGGAGAAGGTCTTTAAAACGCGATACTGTCGATGGCGGTGATTTTCGTGGAAATCGCGTAACCGGTACTCCGACGCGAACTTGCTATCCCGCCGGCTGCTGAGCTCGCTTCCGCGTGGAAGTTTATTCGCGACGAAGGTTACACCGAACCACGAGGGACGAGATTCGGAGAAGAGCAATTTCGGGAATGGGAATTTTGGAATTATCGAGGAACGGGCGAGAAGGAAAATACGAGAAACAGGAAATTTGTCGAATCCCTTTTGCGTCTAGGCGAGATCCTAGGCACACAAGGACAAGTGGCGATCGAACAACGGTCCCCGTCGGTCGTTTTCTCAGTCGCAGTGCCACGAGTATACGATGCGACACCCGAGCCAAGGATGTTTGACGCGATAAGCCGAGAATTTTATTGTTCCCCCTACCAGGCCACCTTTGATGCATACAGTCTCGCGATGATGGAAACTGTTACGCAAAAACCAACGTACAAACGCAGAATCGCGACGGTTTCGGACCACGTAACACCTAACCATTCGTTACGATCTTGGCCTTATCTCGTTGGTACTGATTCACGATTCCTCTCGAACTACGCTTGAGCTACGCTAGCACGAAGGGCCATCCTTGGAATCTGGATTTATTTGTATAACTCCGGACCGGATACGCCGGGTCTTTCTAATACCAAACTTATCTTCGAATCGAAAGATATCCCGGGTGTTGTATCGGCTATCTAGAAACAAACGGTGAACTGCACGTGCGCCCACGAATGACACGGAGGGACCTGCGACGATCGAGAGTCCTGTGTAAACACCGTAAGCTCCGTGAATCCACGGCTAAGCAAATTGCCGACAAGCTTGCAGGTGTATCCGAGAGGAGCTCGTAAAGCAGTCCTCGGCCCACGGTGTCGATCTTTTACGATCCGGCAGTGTGGCAAAAATTTATCTTTCGCTTAAATTCACGATAACGACGGGAACCGAAACGACGCTGCGATCGGTACACGATCGAAGCGGAATGCGGACGCGCTCGCGCAGTAAAACGTTAAAAGTATTCGTTTTACGAGGGCAGCTTCGATTCCATTCTAATCGAGAGAGTCAACATCGGATTAAGGATCCCGAGAGTTACTTTAGCGCGGGGCAGCCGTAAAGAAAACGGTGATCCTGCGTGCCGGGTCGATCGACACGGAATTCTCTGGCGGACACGTTAATACGGAGATATCGAGACGTGCACGCGTTGTTCATAACGGAATCGCGTGTCCCGACGTCCACGGTTATCGAACAACGCCGTACCATCTTTCTCCACGCGCTTTACTCCGGGATCGAGGTGAAATAATCGTAAAGATACGATTTCCAAGGCAAGAAGGGAGGATCGCGCGGTGACTCCTCCGAGTGGATAAACGGAAATCCGGTCTGATCGATAAAGCAAACACGATTCGCTGGATTCTAACCTAGCTCTCGGCGAAGATCGTAAAGAAGAGATCCGTGGACGGCTTAGAGGGGTTGCCACAGCACGAAGGAAAGCTCGAGGTCCTCTTGCGCGAGTAGTCGATACGATGCAACAACAATATTTGGAAAACTCTCGACATCACAGGGGTCTTTGATTCCTGTGGGACACGAGTGCTCGAGTACTTTCTCCCTTGACAGAACTACGAGTACTTGTTCAACCATACGCGATATTATCCTCTATGATAGCGGCTCGAGAGGCTTCCAGTCCGATTAGAGTAAAGTGCCGCTTTGCCGCGGCGTTGAGAATCGAAAATTCTTCGTGGGAAGACGTGGCTCCAGTTTTTTCATCAGCTAAACACGTTCCTACGATTAGAGGGTATCAACGCACTCGTGCTATGGGAAACTTTCGGATCGTGTACACGGTGTCTGACGTTCCTACACGATTGCACGCGAGGATCAGCGACTTGGTACTGCTCCCGTACGATAGCTGCGGGTTTTAAACACACTTTGCGTGAAGAAACAAACAGGTTCGTCTATTCGTAATCGTCGATGACCGAGGAGTCGTCATCTAGTTACCGACTTGACGCGGAACGAGGAAAACGTTCTCGGAAACCCTAAACTCGGTAAACAATCCACTAGACCGGCTCGAAGCGCGTTATCCGCGCAAATATAAGAAACTAGCGAACAGTCGGAAATATTCGTCAACGAATCCCGGAAAAGATAATTAAGCAAATTGGCAGGCAAGCAACGGGGTGTCGGAAGAG